CTAAGGAGCAAAAGTGCCAGCCAGCTCCTGTGGAGTTATGCAGCTCTTGCTATATGTATGGAGAGACCCATCTAAGGCAGAGTTGGCTCTCCAGAGGGAATTTATTTATATGAGGGAAGAATTACAATGGGAAGAGGCTAGGCCTCCAGCACCATCCCCCACACCCAAGTTGGGTTCTGATTTGATGGATAAATTCAATAAAAGAGGCAAGGAGATGGAGGTGTTGACTTGCAGCTTTTTATGGCTATGGACTGAAAGGAGAAGAGAGGACAGGTTAGTTGAGCTTTCACGAGCTCCTTTGGGGATCTAAAACTGTGGAAGCCATGAGGGAAGTTGGCTAGTGAAAAGGAAGAAAGTGAGTTGGAAGTGATGGATGACACTCCTAAAGGCTCTCTTTGATACACAAAATGAAAAAGTCCATGCTTCTAATGCATCTACGGAGCTTAACAGTGGCCTAGTGTGAGAGACTGGTAATCAGGAAATACATAGTACCTGAATGGCTTCAATTGAGAAAAAAAACCTTTAACAAACAGTGGAAGTCTCCAGCCTTCTTATGAGGCTGACGATTTGAGACTGATGGTGTCAGTGTAAGTGCTACAGTAGCAGGGGAATTGAATAATCTCACCACACAGTCCTCCAGTAGACAAAGGCTATTCAAAGGGAAACCACCCATGAGAGACTGGCTCATAGGAGCTGTTAGAGACGCTTGGCCATCATCAGAGTCCCACAGTCATCAGAGACTGTGTAGGACAAGAGAGGAGGGCAGGCAATGGCGAGGAAATTGGGTGTGGTGTAGGTGGTGTGATGGCTGGTGTATAAGAGCTAGATAGGACTGAGTTCATTAGAAGAAGTTAATTCATGAAGGGCAATGAGGCAGGGATGGCGCTCTGGTGACATTTCTGAACCCTAAAGTATACATTACCATATCTCTCTGAAGTAGGAGTTAGTTTGGTAGACTTAAGTAAACAAGCATGTGGACCAAGTTCCCTGACAATTGTGAGCAGAAAGGCAAGCAGAGGGGCCCCTCCTAGTTACTTGGAAGCAGATGTTAGCTAGAAACCATAGAGACAAGATTGACAGAAGATCAGATGTGGTTCTGGGAAATCTTAGGAAGCCCTAAGGTGTGTCCAGCAATTCACCACAGGGGCAAAGAAACAGAAAACAGAGAAAGGCATAGATGATTGCCCCTGCACCCCCAGTATAGAGGAAGATCTCTAGGGGTGGGACTGTCCCACCCAGCTGCTTCCCTAATGAGCTAGCCTGGGTCTCCTGCAGGCTAACAGAGAGCATTGTGAATCTATTGTTTTCAAAATACTTAGGGTGCAGGATATGTGTAGGAACCAGATGTGCTGTGGTTCCTGATGGCCACAGCGTCAGAGGCAAAGAGTCAATTGATGGATAAGGAAATAGGAGCTATGCAGGTGAAAGTGATTACTCTTGACTTGGTGTTGACAGCTTTCTTCCCTGTGCCTGCTGTATACATTCGTTCCCCCCTCCCCAGTAGAGCTTGTTTTCCCATCTAGGGGATCCTCCCAGCAGCTGGGTGTTGCCTGTGGGGAGGCACTGGTTAGCTGCCACTGATGTACAGTGCAAGCCAGGAGTCTGCTGAATCTAGGGGGGTGGATACCTGGAGCAGTCCTGACAGTCGGTGGTCATTGTCCCGGTAACCAGCAGGCCTATGGACTGCCCTATTTGCTTTTGACCTTAGGTCTGGCCATGCAGGCTGAGCCAGTCCATTCACTTTATCAGAAATGAGGAGATGCACAGAGGCCCCATGGAAAACCCAGGATGAATAAGGGGTTCGGGTCAGGGAAAATGTCCTTGGACTATGGATAGTTAACGATTGATAGCTTGTGAGTCCAGCTCTCAAGACTATCTCCCAGGGTTCAGGTCAGATGCTGTAGCTTAGCCAAGGGAACGTAGAAAATTTCTTATCAGAGGGATTACAGGGTGAACTCACACACATGCTGTTTGAGTCATGTATTCTTCTGCTGACTCTAATTCTACCTCTGTAGCATCTAGTTCTCCTTTGTTTCAATTCTCTGTTCCAATTTTATAGTTCTAAATGTTTTTCTAACTCTGTTTCAATTTTTTTGTTCCAGTTCCATTTTTCTTCTTCATTTCTTATACTCCTACATTCTTCACTCTCTTTTTTCTTCTGTCATTACAAATTCCTGAGCACGTGCACACACATACACACACACACACACACACACACACACATATAATTTATATGTGTATATACATATATATACATACATGCATTCATTAGCAACTCATTAGTAATAAAAAAAGTTACAAGGCAAAGACTTGGTCAGTTTAATTGGTGAGTGACAACAGCTGGAAGTTGTAAAAGTTCCGCTTATCTCTTAAAGGGGCAGCTACAAAAGTTACAAAGGGAAGAAATTAAACCAGTGAAAGATCTAAGGAACAAGCAATACCTGTACTATTTTACATTTCTTAAGTGTGATTAATACTATCTTGTTGGCAGAGGCTGCTTACTCATTCTGGTTGCCCAGCCCTGAAATAATCACTCAGAAACTATATTATTTGCAATACTGTTTGGCAAATAGCTTAAGCATATTTCTGGCTTACTCTTATATCTTAAATTAACCCATTTCTATTAATCTGTGTATTGCCGTGTGGCTGTAGCTTATCATGTCCCCAGCGGCGTCTACATGACTTCTCCCAGACTCTGCCTACTCTCTCCTCCTCTATCTGCTTGGAACTCCTGCCTTTCCCTATCCTGCTAAGCCAATGGTCAAAGCAGATTTATTCGTTAACCAATAAAAGCAACACATAAACAGAAGGACTTCCCACACCATTTCCCCTTTTCTGTTTCAATAAAAAGGAAGGTTTTAACTTTAACATGGTAAATTACATATAACAAGACTGGTATCAAGCAAGAATTACAGTTACAATATTTATTTCTACTTTATCTTTTATCATAACTAAGGAAAAATATAATTACAACTATCTACTCTTCAACTCCATCAAAGACCCCAGAAGGATATAATATTACCTAAGTTAACAGAAAGTACATTGTAGGCAACTTTCAAAACTCTAGAATTGACAGAGACATTTTGCTACCTGAACAGTCACCCAAAGTTCTTCTGTAACATGGGGGCATCCAATCTTCAGCCTACAGGCCCATAGTATCCAGCAGACTTTTCCATGAAACAGGAAATCTGAAGACCTGTTCTGCCTTGTGATGGTAAAGTCTATCAGTTGCTTTCTTCTGTTTCCTGTAGAATATCTGGCAGACTCTTTCATGAAGCAGGAATCCAGAAGGACTATGTCACCTTTAGGCAAGTTCAGCAGTCATTTCTCTGTGGGCCCTGCATGTCCAGTTCATCAAGCAGTTCAGGCAAGAGCAGCTTTCTTCCCAAATGACTAACAAACTGAGAAGGAGCCTCTTTGATGACCATCATCCTCTTAACTACTTCAGGAGCATATGTGACTCACTGTCATGAAAAGTCTTAAGCTCTTGGGACATTTTAAATGCTGTATTCTGAAGGTCTCTGAAAGATTTGAAGAATAGCTATCTAACTGAAATATATCTCTATGTATCTAGAAAACCCAACTAACATGATTACATACTTGACTATTATAGATGACTGTCTATTAACCAATATTTCTTAATTATATATTATATTTTTAAATGAGCTGCACAAATGCAATACCTTAATCAAGACCAGAAATATACATATAACAAAATTGACCTAAAATTTGTATCAATAGACCAAGATTTATGCTAATGCAAATCTTGCTAGCAATATCTGGTCATGGTTAGTCAGCTTACAGCCTTTTCTTATTAATACCTGACTCTCAGGACCTAAACAAAAACAGTCCACTGAGTCTAAAATCTTACATCAAAACCTGGCACAAAGTACTAATTGCTGTTTTGAGTCAGAACAATGAGGTGCTGGTGAAGGAAGCTTAGGGCAACATAGGTTGCAATTGATCTCTTAAAGGACTATGATATAACAAGGTCAGACACCTGCAATATCACCCAAGTTCACCTTAAATCTTCCGAATCGCTTAGATCCTACAAGGCCAGATACCTGCAATTCTGCTCTGTGAAAGTTCTGCGAGGACACTTTGTCTGACTAATTTGCCTCGTCAGTAAGCCAAGGATAGAGAACAGACCTCTAAGTGTTTTACAGTCCACAGGAATGATATATCTAGTTATGAAGCATATTTTAGTATGTTTCTATTCATTAAAATTATACAGATAAATATGAAGTCATCTTCCAGAACATCCACAAATATGTGTGCCCATAAAATTGAGATGTAATCATGAGATTACATGTACACATTACATGAAAATGCATGGTATGGGGTAGATATCATAGCCGCTATTGCACAAGTAAAATTACAGATGAAAGCAACAGTTTTCAGAGTCAGGGTAGGCACTCAAAGTACATATCTGGGGGAAGAACTGAAGTAGAAACCATGGAGCCAAGCCACTTCCTGGTTCACTTTCCAAGGCTTGCCCAGCCTGCTTTCTTATGGTACCCCAGGACCACTGACCCAGAAGTGGCACTACCCACAATGGGCTGGGTTCTCACATATCAATAACCAATTAAGAAAATGTGCCATGCATTTGCCTGCATGCCAATCTGGAGGGGGACAGTTTCTCAACTGAGGTTCCCCTCTTCCCAAATGACCCTAGATGGTATCACGTTGACCAAACACTAGCTAGCCATTACCCCTCCTTCTCACCAGACTTCATTTACTGTTCCACAATGGGCTGCACACTGATGGGGTATGAGAACCCAGTGTCGTTTGTCACCTTTGTGATGCTGACTGTAGATCTGCAATTTTCTGACACTAGTGAATTCCCCGCTCACTTCATCTTCTTCCCTGAGTGTGAGAGTCTGCTCTTCCCGGCAAACTTCATTAATAATTTTCTGTTTTTAATAAAAAGTTTAGTCTAGCATAAAAGTAATGGGTTTTATCATGGCATTCCTTTGGGTTTTTTGTGACTGTCTCAGTCTGTGCTCGCTTCGGCAGCACGTATACTAAAATTGGAATGATAACAGAGAAGATTAGCATGGCCCCTGCCCAAGGGAGACTGTCTCAGTCTGTAACCCAGGATGGCTTTCAACTCTTAACTCCTCCTACCTCAGCCTTGCAGGAATGAGGTACCCACCAGTTCCTACGATGGCGACTTGGTAAGCTTCATCTATCTTTACTTCCTCCCTTCATTTTATTCCAAGTTTGATTATTTTACTTAAACGAGATTTAGATTCCCACCTAATGCTGTTTATTTTGCAATTGTTGACCCGACATGCCTATTCCGACCGTCATTGGTGGCTCTGATTTGAAATAGCTCTTGGGATTGTTGTTTACATCTTTGGTGGCTTTTTATTATCCGTCTTTTGATATGTATCAGGTTTCTGAAGTTGCCTCTGCCACCTCCCCTCCTCCCAACTTGTGGCAGAGTTATGTCACCTCGCACTAGGAAACGGGTAGAGTCTTTCCGACTCTACTTGATGACAGACATGGCCCAGTGAAGATGCAGCATAGATATTCTTGCTCATGCCTTAAGGGTGAGGAAACTGCTGCGCCTTTGTGTGTCTAGGACAAGGATAGAATTGACCGTGTGTACAGACTCCCTCCTGTGATTTCCTGCCTCACCATTGGTCAGTGGATCAATGAACTGTTTGCGTGGTGGGTTTTGAATCTGGTTATACAGGTTCCCTTCAGACGTAGAATTAAGCAGTTCTGTGCTGTTTGAACAGTTAGTTTGTTCCATTATGTGTCAAAGGATTTTCTGAAATCCCTCTAACGCTTCAAATGTCAAGTTTCTCTGTGGCAGATATAAAACAGTGCTTTCCTTGATTAACTGTTTTATCCACATTTAATATCCTTATTGTTAAATAGAGTAAAGCAATACAATATTTTTTAGAGGTCATGGGTTGGAATTTCAGAGCATATAAAAGGTAGATAGGTTGAGTCTATTTCCTCTCCACTCATCAATATCCCTTAATTCGCAAATTCTTTCTTCTTAATCTGTTTTCTTTTTCCTCTTCTTCTCTTCCTCCCTCAGAAGCTGTATTTTCTGCCTGTCTTTCTGTCTTTCTACAGGGCCCTATAATCCCCTGGCCCTGTGGTTGCCCAGTGGCCCCATTTGCCTGTTGCCCTGTTTTTCCTGTAGCCCTGTAACCTTGTTTCCCTGTGTCCCTGTGTCCCAGGTAGCCCTGTCACCACTGTAGCCCTTTTGACCTTTAGCCCAGTTGCCTGGTAGCCCTGTAACCCTTGTAGTTCTTTAGCCTGTTTCCTGTAGGCCTGCTGCCCTATGTCCTTATAGCCCAGGCTTCCCTTGGACTCACTACATGGTCCGGTCTGCTACCAAACTCATGACTATCTTCCTGCTTTAGTCATGTGAGTGCCTGGCTTTCAGGTATGAGCCATCACACCTGACTTTCATTTATTTGAAAAAAATAGAAACAGTTTATTGTATTTTGCTTATTAACTCTTTTTAGTTTTTCCCCCACTTTCCAACAGGAATTGGCCAAAATCTAAAATTTTTTTTTGGTTTAAATTTTATTTTATGAATATGGGTGTTTGGCTTGCATGTGTGTCTGGGCACCATGTGCATCCCTGGTGCCTATGGAGGCCAGAAGAGGGCATCTGATCCCTTGGAACTGGACGTGTAGACAGCTCTGTGCTAGGAGCTGATCCTTGTCCTCTAGAAAAGCACTATAAGGCTTCTCTTCAGCTCGAAATCTAAACGATTTAATATGATTTGTTATTTTTAGTGTCCCTATCTCCATGTATTTGTGTTTTGTTTGTTTTTCTTTTTGAGGTAAGATCTCCAAACCAGACTGCTCTGAAATCACGTCCATCAGCCTGTGTCAGCTCTGCAAGTGGTGGGAGCCACAGGGGTCCCTGTGTGCTTCCTAACAGATACGAAATAGGACTTATATTTATTTCTCTGGATCACGTTGCTAGAGCCCTGCAGAGGGAATTTTGTTAGCTCATTAACATAATGCTTTAGATTAGCCAGGGCCTATTGATCCCGTTTCTCACTGTGTGAATCTCAGTGACACCAGGGTGGCCCAATGTTAAAACTGTATACAGTGTTTTAAGCTTTTAAGTGCACATGTGACTAATGGGGTTAAATTTACAATGTCAAACTTAATTTTCCTTTGTATGGCAGTTAATAATGATGGATAGCACATTAGCATATGAGACATCTTATAATTACTTTTTCATTAGATAAAAATGCTTTGAAGTAGAGGAAGCTAGAACAGTTGCATGTTGAGGAGAAACTACATCTTTATTTCACATACTTTAAAAAAAATCTTAGGAAGGTCTTGTAATAAAATCTCCAATGGAGGCTGAACGTCGTAAACTTGGTTGTAATTTACAGCTCTGGAGGCTCATCACGCCCCCTGACCTTTCTGTAATGACCTTGTTCATTTGGGATCACTTTCTTCTCTTACACTGTTGGGAAACCAGCTTCAGCAAGCATAGGGCATCTTCCTTTCTTTCTTCTTGCCTGGCACTACCTACATTCTTGTTCTTGCTGAGGCTCTATTTTGGAACTGTGCCAGAGCAAAGGGGTCTGTGTGGAAATTGTGGAGCTCTCCTGACCACCAGTGCCTCACTCTTCTCTTCCTCAGGGTGTACATCACTCTTCTTGTGTGTGTGTGTGTGTGTGTCTCTACATGAATGTATGTATGTATGTATCCTCTTTTTCTCCTTCTATTCTCTTTCCTCCATTCTCCCCGCTTCCTTCCTCTCCTCTGACCTCTTGTCCCTTTATTTTGTTGAAGAGAATGTCTTAATGGATGTCGTATTCTACCAAGGGAGGCAGGAACAACTTTAGCAAGAGCTATCATTAGTATTTGTTTGTTTTTTATTCTTAAGTTTTCAAACCATCCAGAACAATAATTCATTATAACCTCTACATCCTCTATGATTTAAAAAAAAAAAGTATCTTTTAAAGACAACTGTGATGGCAAATGTCTGTGATCACAAAACTCAACTGATGGAGCCAGGGGGATCAAGAGTTCAATTCTCCTTACTGTTAGACCTATTCAAAAATAATTCAGACTACACAGCATGAATTTGCATGTATTTGAAACTTAGGAGTTTGTTGCTGCTTTGGGTTGCTCTCTTGTAGTTCCAAAGATAATTTTGCTATGTTATTTATTCCTTTTTGGGTACCTTCTTTTTTAAAAATGTGTTTATAGGTAATGAGTAAACAGACATGCGGGTATGTTGGATTGTGTAAAGCACACACTTCATTTATACCTAAAACAAATGGTCCGTTTCTACCTTTGAGTGTGGGCATTCACAGATTAAAATGTTGTCCAATGTGTTTCTGACACATATACATGTTTGTTATTAAATGTTTCAAAACTGTGTCTCCTGAAAGAAGAAAGTTAAAATAAGCAAAATCAACCAAAACACAGCAAAATTTAGGTTTAATGCTAATGTTTAGCAGAAAGAATTTTGTTCTGATAGGTATGACTTTTAGAATGATTGTAGGGTGAAAGAGCTGGTCAAAGAAACACACCCTGACCCCGAAACCAGAGCCAAAGAAACACACTCTGCCCGTGACTTAACTTATGTCACCATTAGTGTATGTGGGCTCAAAGTGCACTTTGGAGAAAAAATTTCTCTCTGGTATATGTGTGTGTCTGTGTGTGGGAATACATGTGTTTTGACTTCTGTCTGTCTATGTGTGTGCCTGTGTGTGGGAATACTTGTGTTTTCATTTCTGTCACATTCAGTTAATAGCTATCAGTATGCTGGTCAGAACATAACAGACTAGAATAATTATAGTCTCTTCTTTGGTGAGATATCACACTGATCTACTTAGGAAGTCCAGATTATTTTATTATAACTGCAGTATTTCTTTGTGTTTGTGATTTTGCTGTATATTTTCATGTTTTTCATTTTTGACTTTTAAACACATGTCTAGGTGTGTCTCTTAGCATATGATATTTTTATTCAGAGAAGCCACTTTTGACTTTTTAAAAATTCAATTGAATTAATGAATTTATTTTGCATCTCAACTTCAGCCTTCTCTCCTTCCTCTTCTACTTCCTTCCCCATCCTCACCTCCATTTTTGACTTTTGGATATTTGAAACATTTATATTCCTATGCAATCTTTTGAAATTAATTTTAAAAATTAAATATGATTATATCACCTCCCTCCTTCCCTGCCCTCTTGTCAATCCTTCGTATGCCTCTTTTCCCCAATCTTTCCTATGTCTTTCCTTCCCCAGGTGATTATGCATTTTTATTCTTGGTATACACACAAACACACATATGTAAATAAGGCCTGCTGATTCCTTTAGTGTAACTTGTGTGTATATGATGTCAGGTTTCACCACTTTGTATTGACTATCCCATTAAGGGACTCATCCTTTGAAGAGGCTAGCTGTCCCTCTTTCAGCAGTCTCTAGCTGTCTGTAGTTTTTTGTCTAATGGTAGGATCCCATGAGATTTCCCCCTTCTCATTAAGATATCTCTATTACCATTGTTCAGGTGTGAGCGAGCCATCTTGTCGAGGCATTATGAGTGTAGCGTCCCTGTCCTTTCTAGAGACACAGTCTCATAGCACACGTTCTGCTCCTCTGGCTCTTACAATCTTTTTGTTCCCTGCTGTGCAATGTTCCTTGAGCCTTAGGTGCAGGAGCTGTGTGCACATTATGACCTGCTGTGGCTTCCTGTAATGGTGTGTATTTGCTGTGAAGAGAAGCTTTGATGGGGTGAGAGCTCCACTTACAAGATTTAGGGTGCAGCTAGGAATTTTGGTGATCTAGTAAGGTGACAGGACAGGTTCTCCTTTAAGCTTCATGGTCTCATTAGTCTTGGGTAGTTGGTTAGGTTTCTAGTACCAGGCCTAATTTTCCTCCTGCTGAGTGGACCGTAAGTTCAATTAGACAGTTATTGGGAGCTGCCCAGATGAGTGCCACCATTCCACCTATAGGGATATCTTGCCATGCTGGGCGTTGTTTTAGTTCATTGATGTTCCAGTTCGATAAGACCATTGATTGCTTCCCTGCTTGGCAAGGTAGAGGTTTTCAGATTAGCTCTAGTTTGAATCTTCTACTTCCACTGAAGAGTGTAGTAGTGTCTTT